ATTCAATATGGAATTAACATTTGTTGCCTTATGACACTATAATGTTTGGTGAGCAGACACCATTTAACATCGTTCAAAGTATATCGACGGTCGGCAGACATATTGCACACACTGCACGTAACACTAAAGGTTCCACTACACTAAAACAACTGAAGAGACAGAGACATGTGACAGCTGTGATTGGATGAAATAGTGTGAGATGTTTATGCTTTTTAAAAGCACAACCATCCAGTAATTAAAACTGACCACAATTTTAAGAATTTAGTGCTGTCATTTTTTTCACCATCACTTATGCTTATTGTGTGTACATGGGTTGTAGTCAAAACGGTCATGATTCAAAATGGCTATCAACATATGATCAAAACGGCTGTAAACCGGCAGGGAGAGAGTGAGTGAGTGTGGGAGCACGTTGATAGAGTGCGAAAAAGAGTGGAAGAGCCACACAGAGTGTGCTAGAGAGAGTAAAACAAGGTAAAAGTGTGAGTGAGTGAGTTTAATATCACGGCGGAGAGAGAGTGGTATATACCAGTTGTGTTATGACATATAACACACGTTAATACACTATGCCAGTCGTCGATAAGTTGTTAATCTTCAAGCTGTAGAGATGTGTAGATCAGTACTCGGTCTCAAGAAACTCATTAATAATAGAAGACAGCACGTGTGAGTTAAGCGTCGTCCTTAGCAAAATATTCCAGCCATATCACTGCAGTGGACATCAGAAATGGGCTTCACGCATTGGTCCCTTCTGGGAAATGGAACCGAGGTCTTCAGCCTGACGAGAGAATGATTTAACCACTGACAGAAATTCTGTAAACTTATGTTTATTGGCTCATATTCAGTGAGGATTGTCATTCAAATCCTCGGAAATTGTCTCGGATAATCCATATATTATTTGCCAAAATCTCAAGGCTGCACTTTTGGCCGCCGCTGATAAATCGATTGAAAGATGCTCTACAACAAACACAACTGGGCGCTAGGTACCATGCTGATAAGGAAAATAGCAAAAGCTAAGAAAGTGATAAAGAAAGCACTCAACATATCTAGAAGGGAAATATATCAGCAAGGACACGGTAATACACTGGCCATTGCAGGAAGGTGTCATGGCAGATGTTTGGCAAATCTCTCAATAAACAAAACAAACACAAAAACGTCTGGAGCAAATTACACGCAGTGAGAGTTGAGCGTAAACCTTCAAAAAGTTCCCAAGATAGTAAACGCCCAAATACTCCAAGAAAATCTCTAACGGGCCTGAATGGGGTATTTTATGCACATGTTGGGGTGTTCCTCGAGACACTCAACAAGACATCTACATATCACTAATCAGATTATACATATATACTCAGCAGCAAAAGGAACATCAGTACGAATTCAAAATTAGATAGGCACTGTAATCAAATCATTACAGAAATGGACATAATAAGCGGATAAAAAACATTTTTTGTGTACAATATCTTGACACATCAATGAGTAACTCAGCACAATTTCAAGACATTACGTGAACGTTTGCAGTCCATTCAGACTCTTGACTTCAGTATCTAGTGTGACCACCACGAGCGGCAATAACTGCAGCACAGCGTCTATGCATGGAGTGCACCAATCGATTGATGAAGGCCATTGGCACCTTGAACCACACTCTGAGAAAGGCCTGGCGCAATACATAGGCTGTGTTCGGCCTTGGTATGACATTATTCAGTCTCCTCTGAATTTCATCCCAAAGATGTTCAACTGGGTTTAAATCAGGACTAAGGGCTGGCCACTTCATAATGTTGACACCGTTCTGCTGTAGGAAGTCCCGTGTAGCTCTGGTAGTATGGGCCCGGGCGTTATCATGCTGGAAAATGATGTTCCGGTGACATGCGAAATGTATGACGTGGGGTTTGAGAGCTTGGTCGATGTAACGCACCGCTGTAATGCCGCCTCCTCTCCCTGGACCAAGGTTCTGGAACACCACAGGACGCACTCTCTGGTTCAGGCCTATTCCACCCCATACCATGATGCTTGCACCTCCCCATGAGTCTCTTTCCATAACACATTGGTCTGAGTAACGCTGGCCAAGTCGTCGCCATATTCTTATTCTGCCATCTGCAGTTGATACGCAGTACCGACTCTCATCTGTGAACAGAACAGTTCTCCGTTGCCTGTATCGCCAGTTTTGGTGTAGTAGGGCAAACTGTAGACGTTCACGCCGATGACGAGGGATGAGGATAGGTTCACGGTAAGGTCTACGGCAATGGAGGTTCCCGCCGTTAAGACGTCGGCGTACTGTATCAGTACTGATTGGTCTTCCGTGTGTTCCCACTGTCTGGCGTGCTGTTTCGGATGCCTGCATGAAGGGATTCTGTACATGCTGTCGCACAACATGGCGGTCTTGTCGTCTTGTGGTCACCCTTGGTCTGCCAGTACGGGGGCGATCATTTGTGGTGTTGGTGGCCCGGAAACGTTGCTGCAGCCTGTAGATGGTCCGAACATTGACCTTGAAGTGATTGGCAACGGCGTGTGCAGTGTGGCCAGCTTCAAGTCTTCCTAGCGCCTGGTTCCTCTGAGCTGTCGTGAGAAGGAGCATCTTGCTGACGTTGTAATGTGAATGTTTTAACCAGGTTTGGGGATGCATTTTATAGGGCTGGTCCGTGTGAACAGCACGTGCAGCATGAGTTGCATGAAAAACATGGAGAACACCGTACCATCTCCGAGATCAGGTTGCGTTTTTGAGACCATTTCCTAGGTTCCATTCTGAGTTTGGGAAGGAATGTCTTTGCTCAGGTAAAGTTGGAGATGTTGTCAAAAATATACAATCAAAACATTAAACGAGTTTACAGTTATCCGTTTCTGCGAAGGAAAATTCCAAACTCACGTTTCTTTTGCTGCTTAGTATACATGGAATACAGTATTGCAACATCCCATATTTCTTAAATGCAGTGACAAACTGACCAAATGGTTAAAATGACTCATTTTGTACTGCTGATTACTATGGTCGTATGACGTTAACAAGAGCTGTCATTTTCAAGATTCTTTCATACAATTCTCGAGAAATCACATTAGAATCAATAACAAGACATGCATGTAGTTCATTAAATGCTGATCTTTTTCGTGTCAATTTATCTGAAAGTAGAGCTTGCCTTTGTGGTGCTCTGGTGGAAGATGCCAATCATTTCTTTTTTTACATGTCCAAAATATGTCGGCTGCCGGTTTAATTTGATACAAGGCTTTGAAATCCTATAGAGTTAGCATAGATATTAACACCATTCTGTACGGCAGCCTTAGCCTGCCATTAACTATAAATGAAAATATTTTAGTCAGTGTATAGACTGTAGCAAGCGTTTCAATTAATGTGTAATATATCTTGCCTCTGTTCAATGTCCATTACATGTATTTTTTCCATGTAATTTTCGGAAGCGAGCTTTAATAAGTTGAATAACTTGTGCCCAATCCCTTTCAATGCTGAATGAAATGTGTTCAAACAAACAATCAATAACCGATCACAATGTCAATACCTGGTGTTACCTCCGCCAGCTGTAACCATACCCCCTGACCATTGACTGTAGCAGACAGTGAATTTAACGCTTTGTACTGGAGAATTTCTTTGGTGTCCCAATGTGACCGTAATGTCCCAAACATGCTCCATGGAATTGAGGTCTGGACTTCTGGCTGACCAAGGCAGATTTACTAATTGACCATAGAAATCACCAACGACACGTGCACTATGTGGCCCAGCTTTGTCATCCATGATGACTGGATTGTGTGTTCAGAGGATGAACCGAAATTTATTACAACCCTGTTTATGATGTTAGTGATGTACAAATTGTTCATTAAGATTTTGTCTGATGGTCACAAGGTCAAGTTTACAGTCATGTGAGAGGCACCCCTACAGAATCAACGAATCTCTGCATAACGGTAACTATTGCAAGATATTCCGTTGTGAATATGCAAAGTTTCTGCAGCGACAAACACGAATTGGGCCATCACGGATGAACATAACGACTCGTCATCTGTTGGAAGCCACTCTGTTTTTAATACACCACTTGACATTGCTTGCAATAGCCCTCAATGACATGTCAGCATGCCAATACCATGTCATCTGTGGAAAGACTATGGCAAGACAAATATCCCCTAGTAGAAGCTCTAGCTCCGAAAACTCCCTCTCTGAAATATTCGTTGGTGATCTCCTCCACCGAAGTCAAAATGATGCTAACATTCAGCCACCAGAGAAGAAAAACACTTTAAGGGTTACAGCCTTCCTGGACAATAAAAGCCCCCCATATTGACACGACTCTAACACCATACGTCACTGAAATAGAGAACACCAACCAAACAACGTCAAACTACCTGGAACCAGGGAGAATATATAGAAGCTGTAGATTATCCCTGTTGGAACGTTTGTGAGCGTGCATGCACCTATGGATCCAAGAATTCTGTGAACAAAACCGCTCGTTGCAGGATCAATAGCTCCATATGTGTGTGTTTGCATTTTGAAACCGAAAACAGAATTAGGTGAAAATAAATTATTTTAACAAACTTGCACTTAGTATAAAATGACGCTATAAGATGCTACATTTAGTTAACTAATCTTGAAAAATGTAATCCTTTTTTAAATGACCCTATGGGACTATTGATCTCTGAAAGGAGGTTGCTAGGCATTGTTTCGTCGGTGTATCCAGCAACAACATTTTACAAATTTTGTCATAATTATATGGTATTGTGACGGTTCGAAACCGGTGCCGTTTTGCCTTTCACGGTCCTAGCGGTTTTGTGGCTCAGCGGTTTTGATCCTATATTTTCATCATCAGGGAGACTTCGTTGCGATATGCATGATAACGGATGTTGTATTGCTTTAATATTAGTAAAAGCAACAAACAGATTAATTCTTCAAAATAATTTATACATCATATAGGTTTGGAATTCCAGTACTTACAGAGATAATGCGACTGTTATCAATATATCAGTAAGGCTAAGAAAGATACTAAATGTATGCTCAAATGAATCTTCTCTGCCAAAGGTACAAAATATTAAATTTCCTGTTAGGGTTGTAACTTCCGGAAATTGCATATGTTTGCGTTATTTTCTAAGTTACCTCGCGTGTTATTACCTGGGTGTCGCACATGTCACATCTCGACTCAGAGGATGGCGGCTGTGTATGTGCGATGCGTGCCAGGAGACGAGGACATGGAAATTCGTCTCCGCTATGGCCACAACAGTGAAAACTACAGGACGTACAATCTGAAACGTCGTCAAAATGAAGAAATTACAAGAGCCCTCGGGAGACTCCAGCATAACATATTGAATTCCTTATCGAAAAAGAAGAAAAAGAAACCCAAATCAAAAGAACCCGAGACGGTTCCGGATCAGGAGACTGACATTGCAGTAAACTTGTTCGTTGAAGGCAACAAAGTGGATGGTAGTACATTCAACAGAGATGCGTGGATTCAAGGGGCAGAACTCGACATATGTGGCACCCGGTTAACTGTAGATGTTAATTCCCCAACTATACGTTCTATATCTTTGCCTTCGAATTTAATGGCTGGATTTCCTCTGTTTCCTAAATGTGATGCGGAGTTTGTTAATTTAAATGAATGTTCGTTCAACTGGTATAGGACGAAATTACGTGACAGCGGAGGGGCGAGTGCGGCTAAAGAAAACAATCATACCGAAGGACAGGAGCAATATGATATATGTAAAGTTTCTGATGGAATTACATACACTCCAACAATAGGTGATATTGGATTTCATTTAAAAGTTGAATGCATTCCAAGGGAAGGTGATCGGATAGGTTTAAAATGTGAAAGTATTTCAGAGTGTGAAGTAAGTGCAGGTCCGGGACCGTGTCCATTTGAAAACCGACAGTTGTATACGCAGCAAGAAACTGAGACTGGCAGGTGAGACATATGTAAATATTGTGTATAATTATACACAATATAAGACAATTATATCAGACATCATATAACTGTTCTCAACTATGTAGCAGTCGTCTCACAGATGATATCCTTACCTTGTCAGTTTGCTGGCAGGGACAACCTTCTTGGTTATGTGGACAAGGTTATCTGATTTGGAACAGGTCTGTGGTTCAAATCCCAGCACCGAATTCGGAACTTTTATGGCTGCTATAGCTACATTATAACTAGAATTATATTATTTTCTAAGTTTCTTCATGTAGTGGGGCATGGGGTAGCCCAGTGGTTAAAGCATTCACTCATCATGCTGAAGACCCAGGTTCGATTCCCCACATGGGTACAATATGTGAAGTCTATTTCTGGTGTCTCCCATCATGATATTGCTGGAATATTGCTAAAAGCAGTGTAAAACCATGCTCACTCACTCACTCTTCATGCAGTATCATATGTACAGTCCGTTTGAGTCAGAAACGGACCGATGAATTGCAAATTTTATCATTGTACAAAATTGCCACATAAATATAAATAGTACACATGTTTATCATTTACTAATACCCAACAGCTTTCTTATATTTGAAAATCTTCCGGACTCCACCAAAAAAGTTCTTTAAGAAACTATCATTAAAATTTTGACACAGTTCACTATTTGTTATGAGGGAGGAGGGCAGAGAAAGGGACAGCCAGGTGTGCGAGAAAGGATGGAGACGGCACAGCAATGAATCAATAACTTGGTGGGCACTTGTGCACGTGCTTCTCTAACACCTGGCTGTCCCTTTCTCTGCACTCCTCCCTCGTAACAAATAGTGAACTGTGTCAAAATTTTAATGATAGTTTCTTAAAGAACTTTTTTTATATTTATGTGGCAATTTTGTACAATGATAAAATTTGCTATTCATCGGTCCGTTTCTGACTCAAACGGACTGTAATTGTAATCAAGATGAGAGATGCATGTATATGTGCTTTCCTACCATTGGCTTTACAACTGTGGTTAATGATGATGAACATGAGCTTAAGGACAAGTTGGTAGTTGTAGTCATGCTTCTTCTTTTCCAGCTTTCGTGTTGTGACATACAATATCCTGGCAGACTTGTATGCAGACTCCGACTTCTCCCGCCAGCAGTTGTTTCCCTATTGTCCTCCTTATGCTCTGGCCATTGACTACAGAAGGCAACTACTTCTCAAGGAAATTGCAGGTTGACCATGTTGACTGTCACTATTCCTTATATGATGTATACTTGCACTCATCTACTGAGACTGGTAAACCAATGTTATGACGAGGTTATCATGGAGGATCCATGCTTCTGCTTCTGTGTGCATATATCATGTATATGTGATGCAAACATCTAGTCTCATGTTTGATAGGGATTTAGAAGTTGGTAGGGTAATACAACATACTTGATATGGGTGTGAAACTTCTTTATTATTTACACACGCCGTTTCTGGGCTAATACTTGCCCCTTCTTCAGGTGAAAAGAAGAAGGGGCAAGTATTAGCCCAGAAATGGCATGTGTATATAATAAAGAAGTTGCACATCCATATCAAGTGTGTTGTATCTAGTCTCATGCTTATGCCGGGTTTATAGTGCTGGGACACTGAGATACCATGCAGCAGTTTAACATGGATACCTCACTCACACCAATTGTTATGCCTGTTATCTGCAGGGGTCCATCCATCCATATGTTTCTCAGTTGGAACAAATTGTCTCAAAAACTCTTTGGAGAACTCAAATTTCGTACAGTGATGTTACTGGTCACAATCTATAATCAGTTTGAAAATTGGTGTCTTAAATTAATTTCCACAGTTTTCAATGCTCCATGCTTTCCACTTGGCGTAATCTGCACGAAATGGAGATAAGTTTTCAGAATAGCGTCTGAATGGGGTACAAGTATTCTGAGAAACTACTGAAAATACATGAAGTTACTCAAGACGGAGTTAACAAATTGATGCCATGAATATATTTTTTCTTATTTCACATTGAAATAAATTTTTGATGACATAAAGCGACCCTTATACCTATGACACTTGTGTTTTTTCTTATGGCTTATGTGTCTTTATTATTCATTAGTACAATGTAGTACCTAATTCTAATGTTCCCTGTGTTGGGGGGTGGGGGCCGGGGGGGATAGTGTTGATGCTGTTTTCCTGTTCTGTCTCAGAGCACAATGGTCTTCTATTTTATTACGCAATCTTCACTTATATTCAAATAATTCAAGTAAAACATATGTTACGGTTCAAATGCTACAAGTAAGAAATATGTTAGTGTTATGATACTGACAATGAGTGTATCTTCCAGGCTACAACGCAGACATTATATGTCTACAAGAGTGTGACATGAAGGTGTTTCAACATGACCTGCTCCCCTTCCTTGACAACTCGGGCTTTGCTGGATGGATGAAGAGGAAAGGAACCAAGGTTACTGAAGGATCTGCTACCTTCTACAGAAAGTCCAAGTTCAGGTGAAAACTCAAACATGTCTGGAAGCTCAAACTGTGGCCTGTGTATTATTCTCAGTTATATGAAGCCTTGGCGTGGGGACATTGGTAAAGGATTAAACTTTTGTTTTGGAAAATAGCTTGGAGAATAATAACAATTTCTGGCAGCAGTTATCATCAAATAAATATTTGACACACGTCAACATGGTCCTAGTATGCTGGTAATTAGAAAATTGGAACTTCAGAGCATGAACTGTTTTCATGTTACTCTAAATTGGGAAATAAATAACAAAATGTGACATCAGTTATCATGCACTGTTCAGTTATTGGGCTTTTTTTCATATGAAGACATGAAAGTGGACATGTTCCAATGTGGCAACAGAAGAAATCACAAAAACAATACTGTACAAAGTGAAACAGTGGCAAGCTTAGCAATGAATGCACAAGTCATGGCATGTGTGTCACTAACTTGGGCACACTGAACAAGTAGAACTTTAGATATAGGCAAATATTAGGTATTAGACAAAATAGTTGAAGGCAGAATATATGAAAAATAGGCCTTAGACAATGTAGATCTAAATTAACCCATAAATTTGTAGTGTGGAATTCAAAACACTCTTTCAAAGAGGTTGGATGCGTCGTCCAAATCTTACATGGTAAGGATGTGATCTGTGGGATGAATGCACAGCCTCCTACATACTCCCACCCCCTTCCCTTTCAACAGAAGGCAGGTTTAGAACCACATAGAACTGTACTGAGGGCTATTTTTAGCAGATCTTGCTCACTGAACATGCACAGCCCCATGATCCCCCTGATCAAAGGTCAGATGTGTTGTCCATTTGACAAAGACTGTCATCACTGGGATGACTCTGCACTCTGCTACACAGACCAGATAGAAAAAAATGCAACCTAATTAATGGAAACAAGATGAAATTGAGCTATGTGAGATCAGTGTTAGTTTCCTACTTTCAGCTTGGTGGGTGAGCATGGCATAATGCTGTCGGAGTTCTTGGGGGAACCTGCAAATGCAGATCTGTGGGATAAAGTGAGTCAGAAGACGGCTTTGAGAGATAAGATGATGGAGAGGACCACAATCCTTCAGGTGACCTTGCTCCAGTCTACCCACAATCCTGACAACTTTCTGTGTGTTGCCAACACTCACCTGTACTTCCACCCAAGGGCGGACAACATCCGAGCACTGCAGATCGGTCTGAGCATGAGGTTCTTACAGCAACTCTGTCAGCCATATCTATCGGAGGTCAGTACACGAGACAAGTATGCCTGGTTTTTACGTGGGATAGCAATGGTTGTCTAGCTGAACCTTCACCCCACAGGTGACACTCAATGGATGTAACCAGGTCGAGGAAACTAACTGAAGTAATGGCAGATACATAGACACTGCCCCCTGGTGGGGAGGTAACTCTCATTCCCTGTAAGAAAGGTATACTGCTAGTTGTTGCTGTTTATTATTAACTAAACCTATTCAGCTAATGTACATAGGACTGACTTACTCAATACTGGACATAGACACACAACAGACATTACTGGGGAAGTTTCTTCACAGTCCTGTGTGTATGGACACAGTCCAAACATTATTGAAAGTTATTCTTGTTGTGGTTATAACAATTAGTCAAGTAGTATTCATTGAAATGTTTGGCCCCAAGGTTAAGATTCAAAAATATTAGTACAATTAGTACTTTTCTAAATCTTCCAGAAATGGATGAGAAGCTGTTGAGGAGAACATCATGTTTTTGTTGTAGTGTTCCATGTAAATAAAATGGATGTGATATGATTACACACTTCCTTACAATCAGTGGCAATTGGGCCAAATGTTCATTTGGTGAGAGGTACTGTAATTGTTGTACAGAGTTGCATACTTTTTGCGCGTCAGTAACCTATGTCTGAATCCTGGTCCGACCTGATCAAGTCTCTAGGTTTGACAGCTCCATGCCATGCTCAGTGGTTCCACCTACACCACTGTTCCCCCCCTACATCAAACTACCCTCGTAACATGCCGTCATTTGACTACTGCTCTAAGCTGGGTTAAACCCAACTTACCGTAAATTATCCATTGATAACTTGGTATACATCTCTTGTGTTGCAGGGTAAAAAGATGTCTGTCGTGTTTTGCGGGGACTTCAACAGCTCTGTGAAGAGAGCTGTGAATGTGCTGGTCACCACAGGTCGTATCCCAGAGGATTTTGATGACTGGGCCTCCGGTGAGTGGGATGGTGATGGTTGGGGAGTGGAGTTAATACTTCATGTAACACTTGATACAAGTAAAATGTGTTATCTATCTTAAAATGTAAGGGTTTTGTTTTCAGCTTACTGTTAGCATGTGTGAAACAGAGAGGCTGTGATTGATATGCATGGTTAGGTGTGCCATGTGTTCATCACTGGCCTTCATTCCATGACGCTTCTCACAACGATGCACGTTATTTGCTTTGTTCACAATTTTTTTTTATAGTTTTTGTTTGCTGCTTGTATGTCTTATATTTTCTGCTTTAATTCTCTCATGGATGTCTATTAGTTTACAATGTTTGTTAAGAGCTGATAACCCATGCTTGTCATAAGAGGCGACTAACGGGATCGGGTGGTCAGGCTCGCTGACTTGGTTGAGACATGTCATCGGTTCCCAATTGCGCAGATCGATGCTCATGCTGTTAATCTCTGGATTGTCTGGTCCAGACTTGATTATTTACCGACTGCCGCCATAAAGCTGGAATATTGCTGAGTGGGGCGTAAAACTTAACTCACTCACTTTTAAGAGCTGATGTTAAAACCTTGCTGTTTCCCAGGTGGCGAGGAGGAACGGATTGGTTGTGAGCTGTCACATGACTTCAAGATGATAAGTGCATGTGGTTACCCCGAGTACACCAACTACACAATGGGCTTCCACGGACTCCTGGACTACATCTTCACTGACACGGTACATCTGGAGGTGATGCAGGTGATCCCTATGCCTGACCACAATGAGGTGACGCAGCATGGAGCACTTCCCAGTGTGGTCTTCCCCTCCGACCATATCGCACAGATCTGTGATATGAGGTGGAAATCTGTGATATAACCAATACTGTGATGGTTGATATTATGTATTTAAATGGGTATGACCTTTTGTGTCATACGGTTCCTCATCAAGGATGGCAAACAAAGACTGGTATTACCCGGTACTTGATGGAGGAAGTAGCTTATTGACTGTTGTATATTAAAGAACCACTAAACTTTGTTTTTTGTTACTCTTTTAACCATTACATATGAAAGATTTGTGGTTAGTCTTATGCGGAACACCAAATTTATTCTTTAAAAACTTGTGGTTAATTAATACCCAGCGATTAAAAGTGGCCAAAAAGTCGCCTGCTTCCCTCTCGCCCGCCAACGAAACCACAGACAGGTTACGTAACTCTGTCGCCAGAGCACTGCAGTGACGTCATATGAGGAACGATTTTCAGTTAGTTGTATAGAAAGTGTGTAGCACGCCATCATTTTGATGATTTCTCGACATGAATAATTTTACACGCCGAATCGTTGCTTTGTCGCCAATTGCTCCTAGGGGTCGGGTGATGGTGTCACCATGCACAGATTTCCACAGGACCCCGCAGTTCGTGCTAAATGGGTTATGTTTGTGAGCGGTTTAGCGCTGTGGAAGCCTGAAACGATATCTTACTTGTGTTCAGATCGCTTCACGGAAGTTAAAGAATCAAAACTACTTACTAGTTATAGTAAAATATGTATATGATTGATGACCATAAAGATTTTCCATAACACAACTTGTAACATAACGATTTCTTCCTCGAAGTGAGGTTGTGGTCGAAGTAACAATAATATTGTAAGTAGTATTATATTGACACCCACCTCGCTGCCAGGAGAGAAATTGTTATGTTATACGCTATGTCATGCAAAATCCTATTGGCCATCAATAAAATACATATTTTACTAATAGTAGAAAGTAGTTTTGATTTTGTAACTCGGTGAAAACAAACCTAAATAGCATTTATCCACAGACTGGCGGATGTTCCCGACAGGGCGCCGCCATTTTTGAAAATCGTGAAAGTCTGTTAGAATTAATGAGATTATAGTTTGTTTTCACTGCTAGAAAATCAAAACTACTTTCTACTCGTAGTTAAATATGTATTGGAATCATAACCAAAAGGATTTTGCATGACACAACTTATAACATAACGCATTTCTTCCACGGAAGCGAGGTGGGGGTCGAAGTCTCAAATACTGCTCGATAAATGTCTTGCTACATTCACATGGTTAATGTCCACTCACCAGTATGTAGATACTAGTCAATGTGCGCCTTTATATTTGGTCTTATAATCCTAATTAGTTTATTATCATACTTGTATGCATTTTGAAACTAAATAAAAAGCAGACGATCTGCTGATACTTATAGTGAATTTATAACAGAACTGTAATATCTAGACATTTTATAGTTTGCCAGTGTGAATCATAATTCGCACACACACCCTAGTGTATGTTGTCTGTCTCATTACACTTCACGGCGAAAACAATGATTCTGTTGAATGCTACGACAAATGAATAAAAACAAAATGCAAATATTAAAATTAAAACAGATTAAAGTTATAGGAACAATATCAGGCCATTACCTTGTTTGAGGAATGTATCCATCAATATCCACAAAACTGTTCCAAATGATGTGTCTTTTAACAGTTTAATATACGAAAAAGTGATAAATCTTTTCAGGTATTGGTGTATAGTCTCATTGGTCACCCAAGATAGCACACCTGGCAACTAATTGCATAATGTCCGCCTTTCATTAAAAACAGTAATTTAGTTAGCCAATAATGGGCAATCAATCAATGTATTGCCGGTTAATCCTTTGAAAGAAGGACGTTGTTTTTACGCAGACACCGACACGGCAGAGTGTATTCAGTATAGATTAGTAAATCTACATACATAAACACTACCTTTTGACAAATCCGCTGTGTAAGATAAAAGTAATTAATCAATCAGCGTGTTATCGGTTAATCCTTTGATCGATGTTTATAATGTTGAATATTTACTCCAGACACAAGAAATGCCAAATGGGAACCTTTGTCGGTAATCTAAGTGTGTTACCACTAATTATACCTGTTATAAATTCATTAACTGACCATCAAGTGAATGATGACAAATAACATGTGTAGGTTTATACCACCTAACACGGGTTACAACAAGGAGTATTAATTGCTGTATTGCATGTGAAAACTTATGGGCCGACACTGTTTTGAGAATACAAACAGATTTTACATGACATGATTAAATATCGAGGTAAAAACACAGAAATGGGATCAATTGGGATCAGTCATTATACAAATAGGGGCCTAACGACACCAATCAATTGTGACAGAATCGCCTATGAAAACAAGTTGTAACTCGAAACTAGGCAAAGCAGGAGACAAAATTAAATGCCAGTAGATTGTGAGAACATATAGCTTTCATTTTCCACAACAATTGTCACGATTTCAGGTTTATACAAGCCTGTAAACAAGATAATTTACCCCCTAAAATGTAGATGAATTCTGCATCGGCCCTCAAAGCTATTCCTCATATGACGTCACAGAGTCGCGCCGCTCTGATTGGTTGAAATTTCGTTCGTGGGTGAGAATTGTGCACTGTTGTCAAAAAGGTCGATTTAAGTCAATTAATGGTCGAAATGAGTAGTTTTAATGACGGGGTTTCATTTATAACGATGCCAGTTAGTGATTTATGTATTTTTAACCCCTAGGGTTTATGTGACCTTTAACTGCCAATACCATGACGCATATTGGTCCAATTAAATTGCAATCAACAATACTTGATTTCACTCCGATTACTACAGTACATGAATGACATAATAACATGTCAAACAGTTATCGCCACATAACAGTTATCCCCATGTAAGAGTTATCCCCACGCAACAGTTATCGCCACGAAACAATTATTACCATGTAACAGTTATCGCCAACACCTGTCTGTAGGGCTTGTGGAGACAGCTTGACTTGTACTTCCATCCTATTTCACACATTGAGACATCACTAAGCCAATAGGCTATGAAAGTTAAATTCACTGTAAGTATTTTAATAATGAGGGTACTTATACCGCGCAATATTCCAAACCACAAAGGGGTGTGCTCAATGTGCGCATAAACAACACAACATTATTACCCCGGATAACCCAAACTGCCTGTTAGATGCTAGAAGGTTATAGTCATATGATTTATCTCACCGGGTACCCATTTTCTGCTGGGTGAACCGAGGCAATTTTGAACAAACTCACTTGCCTAAGGAGAGACATGTGTTACATTGTAGATGTTACAAATATGAATCTCCTTGAACGACTGGACACAAACACTTCGAGGGAATGTCACATGACCATTAGTGTGTTGACATGAAAAGCAATATGTTCCTTTATAAGAAATCACATTTCAAACTACGTACCTATTTGAAAACACATATCCCTAGATATTAGAGATCTATCATACAAAATGTTTCCAGTTTGATTTTTCTGAATGAATTATAAATAAACCAATTTTTTTTAAAATGCAGTTTTTTTTCTGATTTCTGTTTGCATGCATGTTTGTTTGTTGAAAGTGATAATTGTAAATGATAATGAACCATTTCTATCTAATATTAAAATAATGTCAAAATCAGACATGTGCTACAATGTGGTTTCCTTTCACTAAGACGTGCACATAATTACATTTCATATCATCCATTCAGTTACGATTTGACATTGAAACAAATTAAATGAGGTGAATAAAGTGTCCATAAAATCAACTTACATCAGCTTTCGTCAACATTCACAATGAGAGTGAGTTTTGTTCTTTAAAATTTTCGTCTTTTTAATGTAAATTCCATCTCATAAATTTGTTCAGTATGTCAGGGTTTGAAAGTCAATAGTTTTATTACCAAATTTATGTCACATATGAAAACGGTTGCGATGACTGCACTTGTTAGTTGTTGGGAAAGCACAATATGTACTACCGTGCTTCCTGTTGGTTGCATTCAGAAAACACGATAGGCAACTGTAAACAAGCAGGAAACATTGGTGAAAGCTAATCTATCATCAAGATAAAGTTTGTTTTACGAAGTTAAACATGATGAAAAACAAGAAGACAAAGTCATCAATATCCCCCGCAATGGCAAAATACTCATGATTATGTCTACGAGTTATGATTATGTCAAATATTTAGGTGTGTATATAGAAAAGTGGAAGGAGAGTATTGAAAGGTTTTTAAAGTTCTGCTTCAGAAAGGAGCACCATCACCAATTTCAGTATATGTCAAACTTGTTGCCATGGGCCAAAAATATTTTATTCAGCCAGAAAGCAGCACTATCACCAATTTCAGTCAAACTACCAAAAAAAGGCACCAGTACACCACCAGATCTATCTATGTGCCAAGTTTGGTGAAGAAACATTAAATGGTTTTAGAGTTTTGCTCTGGAAAAGTGCACTACCACTAATTTCTGTTTTAGTCAAACTTGTTGCCATGGAAATGCAAGTTTGGTGAAGAAATAAAAATATTTTTATTCAGAATTCCAAAACTACCAAAAGGCACCAGTACACCACCAGATCTATCTATGTGCCAAGTTTGGTGAAGAAATATTGAACGGTTTTAGAGTTCTCCAATTTCGAAAAGACAAATGTGCACGGACGGATTCAGAATTCCAAACTACCAAAAGGGTACACCACCAGATCTATCCATGGACCAAGTTTGGTGAAGAGTCCATTTTAATACCCCATAAAATGTCCATTGTGAAAATGCTATGCGGGGACAAAAACACACGCTAAGAAATGGCAATAACTGTTCGCCAGCCAGGGTCCATATTCTCAAAACGTTTGTAGCCCTAAGATGAGGTTAGGTTGGTGGAGCTGAAGGGGGACACAATTTATGTCAGCTTCAGTGAAGTTGACAGTCTGTCCAACCTTGGATCAAATCTAAATTTCAATAGTTCCATCTTTGAACAACTAAAACACATTGGTAGAATGACAAGTTTATTAAAAGAAACAGGCAGATAAAACTATACAATCATATCCTTGTAAATGATAAATATGTATTATGCCAAACACAATCTTTTTTATGATCAATAATCCCTTTTTGAGGAATCAACGGCAAATATAACATTTTTTTCATCTTAAAATACACATATCCAAAACTTCTTAAACATTTTCTTTGATCAAAATGAGGTCTTTTAGGAGTTAAAAAACCAAATACATGTACATGTATAATTTTTTTGTTCAAAATACATCATGATTTAAAATAAGATTTTTAGAAAAGCCTATCAGGACTAAGGAAAATAGCTGAACAGAGATGAACTCCAATAAGTTGCTGGTATTGACATGCATGAATACAGATATACCGCAGACCATTCTTACAAATATAACTGAACAAAGTATGCAGTCTGCTAAATGACTCACAAAAGTAGAAGTTCATTTACTCATTGTTAGAAATCATAGGGGATAACAGGTCCACTCATTCAACCTTAAGCACATCTTGTCACACAGCACAGTGACTTCCAGTAACCATGGTAACATCATTGCTGAAATGATGGCTAGAACATAGGTTCATGTGAACATAGAACATAGCGTGTTCCGCCTCCTGCACCAGGGTGGGCGATGGTGCAACTTGTGTCAGGGCATTGAAGTCGATAGTTGGGTTATAAAATCCTCATCGTAGTCCTCACAACTACCATTACATCATGACATAGAACACCCCTAGGGCTACCAGGTGTCTTTACACTCAGCATAACATCCAGCTATAGAACACCCCTAGGGCAACCAGGTGTCTTTACATCCAGCTATAGAACACCCCTAGGGCAACCAGGTGTCTTTACATCCAGCTATAGAACACCCCTAGGGCAACCAGGTGTCTTCTACACCCAGCAATAGAACACCCTAGGACAACCAGGTGTCTTCTACACCCAGCATAACATCCAGCTATAGAACACCCCTAGGGCAACCAGGTGTCTTCTACACCCAGCATAACATCCAGCTATAGAAAACCCCTAGGGCAACCAGGTGTCTTCTACACCCAGCATAACATCCAGCTATAGAACACCCCTAGGGCAACCAGGTGTCTTCTACACCCAGCATAACATCCAGCAATAGAACACCCCTAGGGCAACCAGGTGTCTTTACATCCAGCAATAGAACACCCCTAGGGCAACCAGGTGTCTTCTACACCCAGCAATAGAACACCCTAGGACAACCAGGTGTCTTCTACACCCAGCATAACATCCAGCTATAGAACACCCCTAGGGCAACCAGGTGTCTTCTACACCCAGCTATAGAACACCCCTAGGACAACCAGGTGTGGCAGCTCCTGATCAAGAAACTTACCAATTGGTGCAATGTTTGGCACAAACAGATCACGCAGATAGATGTTTATGAGCAACACATTTTGATTACATAACCAAAAAAAAGAGTATTTATTCCAAGAACCAAACTTTCAGCACATAAACCTATGAACAGTATCTGAGTGAGTGAGTGAGTATGGGTTTACGCTGCTTTCAGCAATATTCCAGCAATATCACGGCGGGGAACACCAGAAATGGGCTTCACACATTGTACCCATGTGGGGAATCGAACCCGAGCCTTTGGCCTGACAAACCAACCCCACCGCCCCATGAACAGTATCTACCAGGGTATTAACAATGATATTACGCTGGTTAGATGGTCTATATGCACAAATCATATTACACGGGTCACAAACACTGCTACACACGTCATATATACTGGTGACAAGAACTGCTACACAGTCACACATCCCTATCATACATTACAAATGTTGGGAGATGTTACAATATCGACTCCAACATGATGTTACAGATATTGAGCATGTTTATGTTTATGTGGAGGGATTAGACGTGTTAGTGGAGGGAAGGGGTGATATGAACTATACATTGTAATGGGCCAAACAAGTGACACTATATTTAATGCTGGTATCAGTAGTATCGGGCACCTCCCAGTCACAATGAGATAACTAGGCCATATTCATGAAATGTCTTGTCATGTATTTTGTTATGAAATTCTGGTTTTGTCCGAAATAACTCTCTATGCTTGAACTATTTCAGTCAACCTCCACCAGCTTACCTCATGAAAATCATGGAAGAAAATATAAAATAAAGATTACATTTGTCTTTTTCTTGGTTTAAAATAACATGACCTACGAAGCTGACATTTTTCTTCATTGCTGCGACCCTCGTAGAATTGTTGTGTCAGTAGGTTCGGACAACAGTATTTGTAAAGACAAATGTCCCCTAGATACTCATGAGTAGTGTCGACATTTATGCAAGTAAAGCAGGCACTCTCTTTCTCCGTTCAACACTGACATTCATCAAACAGACAACCTGAAGCTACAGCAGCCTGGGTAACTAACTACATCTAGGAGCAAGGCACAGAATCTATCTCCATTCCTGGTGTCAAGGTCGGCCTTGAATAAATGAAATCAGCATCTCCATCCCCTCTACACCAGTTCCTGACAACAACAGTAACACCTGTACATCTATACATCACTATGTTCATAGTGTTAGAATCTGCTACTGTAGATGAATATCTGTGAGGAAATATCTCTGTCAAACTCCTTCCAATATGGCACCAAAGTTTGTGATGGAACTATAACAGCAGACTACTGATCAGAACTGATGCACTATCTTGTTTGTGGGGCACTATCCTGCAGGGTTTTGCTACCTACAATTAGTATTCTCATTTTGGGAATAGCAACAATTCAACACAAAAATAAACATTTCTAATTGCTGGATCTTTCACAGAACTTAGGACCAGGTTGGTAAAAGTGTAACATGACAGTTTCTAGAGAAGGTGGAACATCTGGAGATATTTCTTGTCTGCCAGGACATCCCTGAGAGAGCTGCAAGTCTGGTGCATCACATAAAGTAGGATCCTTTGTCCCTACAGCTGGGGAACAAATCATCTACCTTCACATCTCATTAACATACATTGTTCTTTAAAAAGGTTCACACAACAGCTCAGCCCTACAGATTAGGGTGTGTGACAAAGGGAGAGAACTCTGACATCTTAGGCCCTATATCACAAGGGAGACAACTCTTGTCCCCCTTTGTCACAATGACAAGAATATTCAGAAAGGTTTTGCTTGTAAGCAAGGTTCTACATCACTGCCCCATACCATAGAAGACAATGTACTCAATATTACATATGTGGAATTGAAAATCATAAATATCATTTGTCAAAATATAAAGCAATTACTTTGTGCCACATTTTCGTTGTGCAAGAGTCTCCAAAAACAAAAGCTTACAAAATTGAACATATTTTAGACTGAGTGACATTTGTACACTGACCTTATGAACTGCAACAGATAAAACATGACAGAAAACATTGCATTTGAAGGCTCGACTGGGACTAAATCCCTCTGTGCATATGTGGAGAGGGCGACCTCTCAATGAACTCAACATGTGATTAAACAAACAATAATAGACAAGTCAAACAGACAATTATAAACACCAAATATCTGTGAAATATCTACAGACCATTATATAAAGATTCAGTAAAATGAATCGTTTGGACAATACACTGTTACTTTCCATTTGGTCATGTATAGAATGTGAAGAAATGTCATGACTGGGTATACATCTCACCTGTACTGACTATATAATCATATAGATATAATAGAAAATAAACAGCAAAATAAATGTGGTGACATTATCATTCAACATTAAAACAACTGTTGGAAAAACATCCTCACTCAAAGTAGACCAATAAGAACAAACATATACTTGTCGATCTTAGCATAAGCGATGATGTCTGACTTAAATAACCTTGATGACAGACAATAGTTCTCCGTGTAGGGCTGGGGGTGGTGTAGGGGTGGTGGTGGTGGTGGCAGTGTGTGGCTGGGGTGGTGTAGGGCTGGGGGGTGGTGTAGGGCTGGGGGTGGTGTAGGGCTGGGGGTGGTGGTGTAGGGTTCAAGAGAAGGAACTTAGAATCTGGACAAGGAATAAGAAACAGGATCCCACGGTTTCTTGTTCAAGCCAAAGCTTACTATGTACTATCCAGCTTCTGACTAATAACATTTCTTCCTATGCTACAGAAATTACAAATATACTAACATGCAGTAATCGTTCAAAGGTCTACAATTACACAAATAGAAAGGAAAAAATGAACTGTCAAATTCCAAAAGGACAATCAAAACACTTGTCAGTGTTACCCACTTGGCATGTTTTAAAGGGGCTTTTGTTTAATGAAGCTTATGGCACAGGTTAGTGTGCCATTTGACTTGGGTGAGAGGGCAAGCATTGGTTGATGCTGATGCTGGCACATTGTCAGTGTCATGTGAAAGGGATTCATATTTCAAAGATAAGTTATAAACCAATATTACAAATATTCCCCAGAAGGCACAATGTCTATGGTTTATTAAAAAGACAGTCACACTGAGTGAAAAATGTAAATTCCAAGAATTTCATGATTACATGAATACTTAAGTAAACATGAAATACAGCACACATAACTATCATTTACGGAGACAGCCGGCCCAAAGTAAGCACAAAATAATTTTCAAACAAACAACTTTGTTTCACAGTCCTAATTATTTGAAGATCTCAGAAAATGTAATTTTTAGAGTAAAATTGATATTTTATACTTATCCTGACTCATGCTCTTTTGCTTGTCTTCTTCTTCTTGCTAACATAGTGGAACACTTGTATCTCCTTATTTGAAGCTCCCTTCAAAATAAAATCACTAATTGGTACTCACCACGAAGTTGCTCCCCTTTGTCTCCCTGGCGGAAAAGGTGTCGCCACCCTCTGGCCATGTGCTCCACTCTCTCCTGATTTATTTGAGCCCAACACTTGAATTTACAGGGAAATCCAAAGTGTTATGTGGGGAGGATGGAGGGAGTTATCCTCATGAGTCAGGATAAGTATAAAATATCAATTTTACTCTAAAAATTACATATTTTTCCTTATCCTGACTCATGCTCTTTGCTTGTAGCATCCCAACGGAACGGAGGTGGGTAACAGAATACTTTGGATTTATAATTAGTGATTTTGTATAGATATACTGTAATATTCCCCACGGAACTTCATGAAGTCTTAGATTTAGGATGTATCCTGTATAAAGAAACCATAGGTTATATAAAGCCATTAAAGGGGAATTACATTATGAATATATTGAACAATACATATAAATTATATATATATATATATAGGTGACTCTGATAGAGGCACTGAAATTGACTATATCCAAGTATATGCTTAAGGTAGAATACTTAAGCTGAACATATATACATAGCCCTAAAACTCCTTAGAGTTATAAGCTAGATGAGTATGTATAAAATACATATTAATCTTGTGAGGCTAATATTTTAACGCCACGAGGGACTGTCAGTTGCTGAGCGAGGACCAGTGGTCCCAATGGTGGAATGCCAGAGACATCTTCTGTAGTGATGTCTCTTAGGTAGTGATTAGCAAATACCATGTTAGATTTCCAATAGCATCCTTCCATAATCGCGGTTCAAGGAACAGTTACCGTAGGGCGAGGGTAGAGGCCAGTGCCCTGATCTCATGTGGATTTGATGCTGTTGGTGGGTCCAAGCCTGCTGCCTTGTAGGCACGGAGAATGACAGTCCTTATCCAAATAGATATTGTGGTCCGTGACACTTCTGTTTGATTCAGAGGCTTATAATGGGATGAATAAACGCTTGAGAAATCTTCTCCTTGTTTTGGATCGTCAGAAATAAACTTTGAGCTCTTACCGACACAGTGATAGGTCTTGTGTATCTTGTGATCCGAGAATAGAGGATAGCCGGATGTGGAATAATCTGTCTGGTTGACCTGGCAGTTGATTCTTTGCAATGAAATCCCATCTTAATCCGAGGTGCGCTGTGTTATGATTGTCATCAAACTGTATCCTCTCGAATCCAGAGCTGAATTTCAGACATTCTTGCTGCTGTGGCTAGCTTATAGCAGAAACAATGTTTTCTGTGAGAGAAATTCAAAGTTTGTCGATTCCAAGGGTTCATAGACCTCACCGTGAGGTGTTGTAACACTACATTCAGATCCCAAGCTGGGCGGGAACTCCGCTTTGGTCCTCCAATCGAAAGCTCGTGAGTAAGGCCAGTAACTCTGGAGATCTTGTCAATTTGACACCGCTCTCATGGTGATTACAGAGCTAAGCCGCAAGATATGTTGATATCGCTGAACCTTTTAAATGTTTGTTTTGGCGTAGGTAACACAAATAGTCTGCCACTTGAGGTTGTGAAGCCTCTTGCTGTAAACCCTTTCTTTGTTGCATAATTTTCAAACTGTGCCACTTGTCGCCGCATTGCCACGAAGTTGAGTAACGTAAGGCGTTTGACTGCTTTTGCCGCCCTGGCAGAATATCCTCTCTTGTTTAAACACATTTGTATACAGTCCATAATGTAGTTGGAACATTGCTGGGTTTCCGCACTTGTTTGGTGTGAGGATGAATTAACAGGTTTGGCGCCGCTTGGGTAGCTCCAGTGTTGGTTGACCGATTTCTTGAATTAGTATGGGAAACCACGCTCTGGCCGGCCAGTAGGGCCACCAAAGTGAGTTGTAGGCTCTGTGTTTGTCTGATTTTCTGTAATACTTGAGGTATTATTGCTGGCGGCGGAAACGCTGCACGCATTGAGGCCTTCCCATGATAGACTTAGAGCGCCCGCTGCCCAAGCTTGGGGGTCTGGGACTGGTGACACGTAATGTCGGTAGCTGATTGTTGAATCGCGGGCTTAATAGGTCTATTAGCGGCGCCCTAATTGCTTGATTATCTGTGCAAAAATTTTCCGTTGATCATCCACTCTGTCGGTGATGGTAGATGAGGCCGAGAGAGAGCCGCCTGCTAGTATATTTCTGGCTCCGAATGTGCACTGCTTTGACATGTAGATTTAGATCTTGTATTAAATCTAACAGTTGAAAGCTTAGGTTCAAAAGGTTCATCGATCTCGCTGAGCCTTGCTTGTTTATGTAGAACGCCACTGTCAATTGTCTGTATGGATCATTAGGCGCCATTTTGTAGAAATGTGCTCCAATGTAGAATGGCGCTGATTACAGCTTTCATTTCTAGACTGTTTATATGGAGTTTGCATTCTTGCTGATTCCATAACCCTGATATCGCGGTGGTTGGTGAGATGAGCTCCCCAACCTTGGAGTGACGCGCCTACATACAGATGGGTTTTGTATTCCTGCTCTGCTAAACAAATCCCTTCGCAGACATTCGATTTCTTGGTCCACCATAGTAGATGTGGTCTGAGATGTTTCGTAGACTGAATGGTTGTACATCGCTGAGATGTGCGCTGATGAGGACCTGTAGGGGACGAATCGTAATCTGCCTGTGACAGTCATGTCTTGGGCTGATGTGAGAAGACCTAGTAGGCTCTGCCATTGTCGCAGTGGTAACGGAGAGAGTAGAGCTGGTGGAATGGTCTGTTGTATCTTGAGCCAACGGTCTTCTGGTACCATAATACGGTTGCGATTTGTGATGAATCAATACCTAGGAACTGTAGGTCTTGGCGATGGTACTAGGTCCGACTTATGTAAGTTTACTAACCAACCTAGTTGTGTTAGTAGCTTTATGATGTAATTTAACTGTAGTTTGAGACGAGTGGATCTTGATCTATTTGTATCCCGGGTCGTCGAGGTAAAACGACCGCGTAGCCCTTTGACGATGTAGAAATTTGATAATCGGTTTCGCTATCCTCGTGAATAGCCAGGGGCTGATGATATTCAATGGGAGTACTTTCCACTGGTAATGTAGCCCTTCTAGAGTAAATCGTAGGTATTTCCTGGAATCGGATGAATGGGGATGCAAGTAGGCATCCTGTAGATCTATGCTGCCCATGTAGTCCATAGGATCTAATCATCTGGCGTAACTGAGGTAAATGTATCATGCTAAACTTCGTGGTTTGGCGAGATAGTTCTTGTTGAAAAGCTCATGTTGTAGATGAGTCTGTATTTCTCCGCGGAGTTTTTCTTGGGAACTAGGAAAACTGGGGAGTAGAAACCTGGTTCGACGCTTGCTTGATCTATTACTTCTATGGCCTGTTTGGATAGGAGTGATGAGACAGCCTCTTTATCTTTGGTAGTTGTTGCGCTTGTAAATCTAACTTGGGGGTTTGATTGTCAGCGGAGGCTTGTCCTGTAGAGGGATAATAAACCTGTTGAATAATGTTGGAGACGAAGGATCTTGCAGTATTCCCCAGTTTTCCCAGTGTAGTTGGAGGCGCCCACCCACTTGAGCTGGTTGTACTGGAACGGCTGGGGTGGAAGACTCCAGTCGTCCAACCTGTGTTTCAGCTGCCTATAATTGCGGAACCTCTGGGTGTCCTGCCTCTTCCTGATCCTCCTCTATAGTTGCCATATGGGCTTAATTTAAAAGAATCTTTACCTCTAGAGCTGGCTATCTTCCTGTCTCTTGCTCTTTGTAGGCCCGTGAACTTAGATCTGCCTGAGTATCTTTGTGAAGTCTGACTAATGACGCTGGCTAGTGTGTCCATCGATCTAATCATAAGGACTTCCCTGGAATCCTTAGAGACTTCCTTGGCTTAATCTTTGTCGATTTCTCCGCCAAAGATGGATGTTGTCACCACGGGCTGTATAAAGTGGGCTGTAAAGTTCTCCCCCAATTACAGGAGGCGCAGGAGGCCTTGACGACGAAGCTAAGGTCAGTGCTGCTGAAACAGATGTAAGATGATCCGCTAAAAACTGCTGATCTTTCTTTGCATAAGTAAGGCAGAATAAATCATTCTATCATCTTCCCGTCAGGGAATCCCCGAATCTAGTAATAAGAGTCTCATTGATCGCCCTAGATCTATTTAACCCAAAGAACATACGCCTCGCCATGGTTTCTATATGAGCCAACTTGGCGCATCATCCATCTTGTAAATCTTGTTCTTTACATCGCTGATGATCTTATAGTTCTCATCGATGTCCTGGGCCTTGTAGAAGGAGTCCATGTTATGCGTGGAGAACTTCTTGGCTTGAAAGTTGGGTAGATGTGGTATCTGAACTTTCAGAGCTTTCTGGAAAGCTGCATCTAGATTCTGTGGCACTGCCGCAATCGGTCGATCGGGGTAGAGTGATTGCATCTGGATCATCTTCCTTCATCAAATACGCCTGAGCTGTATTGCCACTTTTAGATGGTGATGTGAGATCTAGGTTATTGACCATCCAATACCGTGATTCTGCATCAGAAAATATGATTCCTCCATCATCCTCAAACCATCATCATTAATAAATTGTAGATGCTCTTCGACCGCGGTAGCTATCTGAATATCTGATGAGGTTTGTGGCTATCTAGTTGACTTGTGCGCCGCTTCTATGTGGAGATCTGATGGGTGATCGACCTGGTGATGAACGGAGTGGAGATCGCCTATGGGATGATCTTCTCGAGACTTGTGAGGTGAATGTTGATAGCTTCGCGAAGCTCTTCGGCAGTCCCTCGATGTTCTTCTAGACGATGAAGATCTGGAATCATATGTCTTTCGCTAATGCCTTCGCTGAAGCTTCATTTGGCGTCCCGTCCGGGGATCGATGATATGACCTTCGCGAAGGCTTCCGTGATGTCTGATGGTCTGAGTCCATATCTAGAGATGAAATCGAAGATGGTGATGATCTCTCCCGCCGCCAAGGCCTTCGCTAAGGCTGTACATCTAGGTCCTTCGCCAAGGTGGTGCGGACTTCCTTCGCGAAGGTGACATCGCCTTGGCTGCTACGCTGACGGGGTGCCTCTGGGGTGCTGTTCACGCTTGGAGCCTTCGGTTGTTCGACTTCGCTTGGCGCAGTTTGTAGTGGTCCTCCATGATGTTCATAATCTGCCGCATCATGTCTTCTGGGATGATTCAGACGAAGTCGCCGGGCGCCTTTTCTGGCGATGGGGTTCACATCAATGACGCCTGACGCCGGTGTAGAGGCATCAGGCTGCATGGAGATCTCTGCAGAAGTCACAGTCGCTGACACCGTCGCTTCTTCTGCCGTGAAGTCGGGATGATTATCGGCTGATCATCGTAGAGGCCCAACTCTGCTGCTGGAACGATCTCGCTGAGAAAGTTCTTGCTGTCTTCGAGATTTCCCTTTGGAAGTCTGGCGCTGCCCTGGGTGTCCTCAATCTGCTGAGACGCATCGATGAGGCCCTCTTAGACTTAGTCTGCAATGACGGATGTCTGGGGAGGCCGGTCGCTTCTTCGAGGTAACGGATCATGCGCCCCACGCTCCTCTGCCGCAGGGGTCTCTAGCAGAACACCAGACGGAGAGGGTCGATCGCTAGCAGCTGACTGGAAGGAATATCTGACTCTCTGCCATGTTTTGCCCTTTGTTTTGCTTGATCTATCTGCAGCACGCCTTAAGACGCAAAGATGATATTTATTAAATGCAGAATGAGATAAATTAATGCAGTAACTGCAACGGAATTAAACGCGACACGGCGAGAACAACTAGGGCATATTACATGTGGATCGGAGGCAGAAAACGTAATCTACAAATCGCATAGATTTTCATGAACGTAAAGCTAGCTGAACAATCACTTAAATACACGGAATAAACAGTAGAAATAATGATAATTAATCAATACAAATAGTAAAGGATACTAGCTATACCTCTATAGTAACCTATGAGAGGTAAAAACTAAGAGATTATCAAAGGATATGTGTGTAAGGAGACACAAGGCGCCTCACATCCTGCTCACTGGGCTTAAGAAGGAGAGAGTGAAGCACATGGCCAGAGGGTGGCTTACACCTTTTCCGCCAGGGAGACAAAGGGGAGCAACTCGTGGTGAGTACCACTAGTGATTTTATTTTGAAGGGAGCTTCAAATAAGGAGATACAAGTGTTCCACTATGTTCGCAAGAAGAAGAAGACAAGCAAAAGAGCATGAGTCAGGATAAGGAAAAACGTTTGCTTCCATAACGCAGATCCTTGTTGACTGGCTCACCAGCAGACTATATGACTTATATATTACATGTTATATGTAACATAGGTTATATTTGGGATAACACTTTCCCAGTGAAGTACAGATTCTAGGATTTTTGTCCCATCCGGGATTCCAACCCACACTCAGTATCCGACACCTAATAGCCAGCACACAAGTCAGCCATCTAACCCACTCAAAGATGGCTTCCAGAAAGTTTCAGATTCTTGTTTTTCAGAAGAATTTCTTTTTTGGCACATTCTTAAAATAGACCTAACTTTATGTTGCAAATCATTCCGGGTAATTGTACACAGAGATATGAAAGACCTTCAAGAACCCCTCTGTGTGTTCCTGGCTGGATTAGGTGAATAGGTCAACTCAGTCAAATTACCATAAGAAAAAATGTTGGAGAGCTGTTAATAAACAATATACGATACATTTGAGATTTATTTGCTGACAAACAGGTATCTCCACCAACATTCCTTAACCAGATTCATGTTTCACCATGCAGACATGTATTTGGTAAATTACACCACCCCTGGAACCAAAGAGATATCTGCAAGGTCCACAGAATGTTGTGTAAGTTACCAGCCTGTGGAACCAGACAGACTTCATTAGTTGAGTCACATTACCCTGAATACAGCCGGAATGTTAGTGTGAGATGGTGGATGAAAAAGATAGATTATACAATACAAACCATCCTTCAGCGGGGTATAAATAATCTACCTTTATCCTCCAGTCCACGCCCTGAGAGGGTGCTGATCATCAGAAACTTTACATCATTAGAACAATTCTTTCGCTGATGGTAAACTCATATTCAAGTGCTTCCCATATTTCCAACAATCCTTTGCTGGAAGTCCACTGTGAAGTGCACATGGTCCATTCCACGCAGTGTGCGGAGATAGTCGAAGCTGTTTTTGAACTTCTGCTCGTTGATGCCGAGCTTAGTGTACAGCTTCTTCAGTCCTTGACTCCTGGCACTCTCCACTGCAAGCGTGTAGTTGGCACTAGCCAGCGTGGCAATAGTTGTTGACTGCGCTGTTGCATTGGCGCTGATTTCCTTGCCGTCATTCTTGATCTGGCGAACCTATGTGACAGACATTACACATTACACTTATTACAGCATGGTGTAAACAGCATGTGCACTAATCAAGCACTTTCCACTGCAAATGACCGTGCTAGATTTTGTCCTAGTTTATGTATGTTGTGTTTCCCAATTCAGTGCTTGTGATTGGGTGGTTTTGGTGTGTGTTTCTCAGTGTGTGTGTGGTTTGTGACAGTGTGAATGTGTTTGGTTTGTGTGTGTGCTTATTCCAAGCATTATTCCAGCTATGGGACATGTGAAAAATAATCAGGTCTGCACCAGTTTATCCAGTATATTGTGTGTAAAGATCCATCAGGGTACAATGAGACACAAAGTCGGACCAACCCATCCATTCAGTTGACACGCAAGTTACTGGCGACAGTTGACCTATGATTTCAATGTCTTCAGCTGTAATGTTTATGTACATGAGACAGGTACAAGCATCTCTACCAAAATGTTGCCTGGAAACTCTACATCCGTCTGTTTATGGACAATCTGGGCATCCCATGATTACTAACCTCTACATCCGTCTGTTTATGGACAATCTGGGCATCCCAAGATTACTAACCTCTACATCCGTCTGTTTACAGACAATCTGGGCATCCCAAGATTACTAACCTCTACATCCGTCTGTTTACAGACAATCTGGGCATCCCAAGATTACTAACCTCTACATCCGTCTGTTTACAGACAATCTGGGCATCCCAAGATTACTAACCTCTACATCCGTCTGTTTACAGACAATCTGGGAATCCCAAGATTACTAACCTCTACATCCGTCTGTTTACAGACAATCTGGGCATCCCAAGATTACTAACCTCTACATCCTACTGTTCACATATATGGCCGCAAATGACCATGTCCAATTTAATCTCCAATGATTACTAACCTCCACATCCGTCTGTTTACAGACAATCTGGGCATCCCACGATCACTAACCTCCATATCCGTCTGTTTTCGGACAATCTGGGCATCCCATGATTACTAACCTCTACATCCGTCTGCTCACATATATGGCCGCAAATCGACCATGTCCAATTTATACTCCAATGATTACTAACCTCCATATCCGTCTGTTTTCGGACAATCTGGGCATCCCATGATTACTAACCTCTACATCCGTCTGCTCACATATATGGCCGCAAACGACCATGTCCAATTTATACTCCAATGATTACTAACCTCCACATCCGTCTGTTTACAGACAATCTGGGCATCCCACGATTACTAACCTCCACATCCGTCTGTTTTCGGACAATCTGGGCATCCTGCAGCAGCTGTTCACGGAGAGCATCTTCCTGGAGAGTGAGAGCACGGAGGAATCGGTCCTTCACATCACTGGGTATCTGCACCTGCCCCAACTGGAAGTACTTGACATCAACAAACAGCCCCTTGTCTGCCGTTGTGCACAGCCTCACTTCTTTGCATCCTGGTGGACACGCTGCAGTAAACAACGGAACACTTGGCAAACATGGCCACCACACAGACTACACACACAGAGTTGGGAAATTGGACAGCTTTGATCATTCTTACCATCATCAATGGAAAGACAGAATTGTAAAAACATGAATCTTGAGGCTTTCATCAGCCGGGGTTTAACACCCTGAGTTAATTCTGTTAGAATCAACAGAAGCCTCTGTTCTAACCGACAACCACAAAATGGAGCTCTTTATAGAGTTACTAAATGACGGTACACTTACCAAACTTGAAACTTTTACAGTTCTTAGCACAGCATTTGCCTCCCAGCCTCTCTCTCACACCTTTAAACATGGCCGCCTCCAAAGCTGCACGGTCCGATACATACTGTCGGGTTGTGAAAGTTGGTGCCTCTCCCTGAAGGTAGGAATTACTGTCTCAGGTTCTTTCAGGATAGTATGTTACTATGGTTACTAGGGAACATGTTTTAAATCTCAGGTCTACATAGATAACTGTGAAGAAATTTACAACATCATGGAACTAATGGAGAATCTACATTGTCATGACAGCATGTCATACCAGAAGGTCCATCACCTTCAGGGCAGCATCCAAGGCCAACCTGGCCAGTTCATATCAGCAGCATACGTTCATTGTCAATATTTGTTAGGCTTTTCAAACTTTTCAGGCTTTTCATGTTGTTGATATTCCAAAACTCATCATAAAACCTTAACTGCATTTACTTCAATGTAATAATGTCCTCACGTCGAGAGAATGAAATTTGAAAAGTATTCCAGTTAATTCTCGACATGTCAGCTCATGAGGGATGGATGTGCAGCTCAGCTTAGTTGTTTAGCTGTGGTCATAGCCACAAGTACAGTTATGCTGCTGACAAACTTAAACCAAAAATGGGTAGAATTTGGATTAGAAATCCAAGATAGTAGGTTCCTGGCTTGACCAAGGGACACCACTCTGTACTCTGTATTGTGATACTCTCCTTCCTCACTCTTGAGTGTCCTAGGTACCAGCCTCCTCACCTTGAGAGCATCCACAGCACTGGTGCGCATGACAGCTTCGTAGGAGATGTCGTACTGGCTGTGGAGCTGCTTCAGGTCTTCGGGACGCAGGAAGTACTGGAATGACACGTCTAAAAGCACCTGCAACAACAACACCATCCCATACACTATCAACACACAGAACAGTGATGTCCACAAGTACCCAACACAATAGGTCCACAAGCTCCATACACCACAGCTACAGAAGCTCCATACACCACAGCTACAGAACCTACGGACACCATTGATACAGCAGCCCTCCACAACACAGATAGAAAAACTCTCTACACTACATATACAGCAGCTCCCATGCCACTGATACAACAGCTCTCCACACCACCGGTTCAGGAGCTCTCTACACCACAATCTCCCCACACCACAGCTCTCCACACAACAGGTTTAGAAGCTCTCTACACCACAATCTCCCCACACCTCTGATACCACAGCTCTCCACACCACAGGTTCAGAAGCTCTCTACACCACAATCTCCCCACACCTCTGATACCACAGCTCTCCACACCACAGGTTCAGAAGCTCTCTACACCACAATCTCCCCACACCTCTGATACCACAGCTCTCCACACCACAGGTTCAGAAGCTCTCTACACCACAATCTCCCCACACCACTGATACCACAGCTCTCCACACCACCGGTTCAGAAGCTCTCTACACCACAATCTCTCAACACCACAGCTCTCATCACCACCGGTTCAGAAGCCCTCTACACCACAATCTCCCCACACCACAGCTCTCCACACCACAGGTTCAGAAGCTCTCTAAACCACAATCTCCCTACACCACAGCTCTCCACACTACCGGTTCAGGAGCCCTCTACACCACAATCTCATTACACCACTGATACCACAGCTCTCCACACCACCGGTTCAGAAGCTCTCTAAACCACAATCTCCCTACACCACTGATACCACAGCTCTCAACACCACAATCTCTACACCACACCACAGCTCTCCACACCACCCGGTTCAGGAGCTCTCTACACCACAATCTCTACACCACTGATACCACAGCTCTCCACACACCGGTTCAGAAGCTCTAGCTCTCTACATCAATCTCCACACCACTGATACCACAGCTCTACACCACCACACCACAGAAGCTCTCTACACCACATCTCCCCCTCACTCCATACCACAGCTCTCCACACCACAGGTTCAGAAGCTCTCCACACCACAATCTCCACACCACTGATACCACAGCTCTCCACACCACTCAGGTTCAGAAGCTCTCTCCACACACCACAATCTCTCTCTACACCACTGATACCACAGAGCTCTCTCCACACCACCGGTTCAGAAGCTCTCTACCACACCACAATCTCCCCACACCACTGATACCACAGCTCTCCACACCACAGGTTCAGAAGCTCTCATACACACAATCTCCCACACCACTGATACCACAGCTCTCCACACCACAGGTTCAGAAGCTCTCTACACCACAATCTCCCCACACCACTGATACACAGCTCTCCACACCACAGGTTCAGGAGCTCCCTACACCACAATCTCCCCACACCACAGCTCTCCACACTACCGGTTCAGAAGCTCTCTACACCACAATCTCCCCACACCACTGATACCACAGCTCTCCACACCACAGGTTCAGAAGCTCTCTACACCACAATCTCCCCACACCACTGATACCACAGCTCTCCACACCACTGGTTCAGAAGCTCTCTATACCACAATCTCCCCACACCACTGATACCACAGCTCTCCACATGTTGAGAAGCTCCCTGTGCCAATGTACCAACACAAGCCACATTAGGAATGACACGTTATTCAGTACCTTGTAAATGTTTGCATGATGGTCTTCACTCATCCAAATGTATTACTTACTGTAAATCATGAAATTAATGCGAGCATTTTATTCATGCGAAAAATGCGTCTGTACTCTTCTCGCATTATTATAATGACGCATTTCAGTCTGACCATGTCTACTTTGAGAACTTAATAGAAGACAGAAAACGTAAATCTCTTGTCGTCTTCATCGTCTTCAGGTTAGCATTCATCATAACAATAAAGTATATAATAACAATTTAGACATCTCCCATAAAATTAATCGACAAATGAGGACTAATTTCCATGACACTAATTGATATCCATTGAACTTTTTCATCGGCAAATTATGCAACAATAGTGGAAGTGTTGACACTACACATGACACCAGTACAGGTCACTTCCTCATTACAGGCATCTCAAGCCACATGTAATTATCACTGGTTACAATCACTGGTCATTGTTTAAAGCCACTCAAGCACATCAGCCAGACCAGACATTCTCCAACCACTTGTTTGTTGTATCTTGGTAGATGACTTGTGTCTTTCAAGTCGGATTACGTTTATAAATGTTGTCATAAGACAAGTAGTAGCAAGCAAGCATCAAACATGGCAGCGTAATCAAAACATAGTCAGCTCATTTCCATTCATTGCTTAACCAGCTCAATTCAGGTTATTTGGTAAATAACAAGTGTGAAAAGAAAATGAACAACATCAAAGATTCAGGGTGTCACATTTTATCATCAACACAGATTCCTGAGCTCGCATTAATTTCGTGACGCATTTTAGACTAGACCCTCGCACTCGCATTAATTTCATGATTTACAGTAAGTAACCCATGTGAAAGACTAAGCACAACAATTTGGCTTTCGGAGATAATGCTTGGTTTCTGGTGAGCAACATGGCATTGACAAATGCCACGCTTTACATGACTGGGGCACAATTGTGTCCCAATTGTGAATGTGAAATCGTCTAAACCGAATATTGTCCCCACAAAGTACAATGAATATGGTCTGTTGGGCAGGATCTCACCTCCAGTTTGTCCGACGTGAAGACAGCAACATCATTCAGGAAGACATAGTGAGCTGACGCTGTGTATTTCTTGAACTCAAAGTCTGGTCCTATGAAGTACTTTCCACCTGAGTATACCCGTGATGTGTCAACCGCTCCAGTACTCTTCCTTCTTTTAAAGGCAATCTGCAATCACAATCATATGGCTGTGAAAATACCAGGGCCTTGATTTTCGAAGCTCTCTTAGGGCTGAGATAGTCGTAATTTAATGTTAATGTATGGCACTTACGACTATCTTAGCGCTAACAGAGCTTCGTAAATCTAGGCCCAGATATTTACATATCGTGGTATATCGGTGTAGCATTAATATCCCACACCTCTATATATCGTGGTACATTGGTGTAGCATTATTCATGCAAACCTCAACATATCATGTTATATTAGTGAAGCATTAATAACGCGCACCTCCACATATCATGGTACACCCCTGTTCCATCAGTACTGAACACCTCTACATATCATGGTACACCCCTGTTCCATCAGTACCGAACACCTCCACATATCATGGTACACCCCTGTTCCATCAGTACCGAACACCTCCACATATCATGGTACACCCCTGTTCCATCAGTACTGAACACCTCCACATATCATGGTACACCCCTGTTCCATCAGTACTGAACACCTCTACATATCATGGTACACCCCTGTTCCATCAGTACCGAACACCTCCACATATCATGGTACACCCCTGTTCCATCAGTACCGAACACCTCTACATATCATGGTACACCCCTGTTCCATCAGTACCGAACACCTCTACATATCATGGTACACCCCTGTTCCATCAGTACCGAACACCTCTACATATCGCAGTGTACTGTGTGGCATTATTATCGTGCACCTCTACAAATCATGGTATTCTGTTGTACCATTAATAACTTGTATGTCTACAAATCATATATCGTTGAATCAACAGTATCGTGCACTTCTACAATTATGGCATAAAGCTGTACCATTAATACCTCACATGTTTAAAAATCAAAATAAAGTGAGTGAGTATGGTTTTAAGCCGCTTTTAGCACTATTCCATCCATATGACGGTGGAAGACACCAGATATGGGCTTCACACATTGAACCCAGGTCTTTGGCTTGACAGGCTGACATCTTGATCACTTGGCTACCCTACCACCCCAAACTCCAAATAAAACAACACTATGGTAGCGGAATGGTTCGAGAGTCCATACAATTACACCCACAAATATGAAAATAAACCATTTTTACATCTTAATTACATCAAGATAAAACTAAATTTATAATGAACGATTAACTATTTTGACCAACAGGATGCTACATTTGGGTTTTTGCAAAAAAGAAAATACTTTAATAACCATATAAGACATTGAGAAATCAGGTAAGTTGATCTGGTTGGATGAGGAACACAACTCAGCATATAAAGAAATTATGATTTTTATGCAACAAAACTTCTCAACTGGATCCATAAGCAATCAGGTTACAGCACAGGCCCCTGCAGTTTAGTGGCATAATATACTTGACAACTGTACAACAAATGTGAACTCACTTCATAGTACTCCAGATCGGAGAAACTCATCGGCACCAAGATGACGACCAGAAGGACGACAATGCCTACACCAGCCCCAATCAACAGAAAAATACAGTTGGTGCCGCCCTCTCCCATCTTTCTGCCAGAAATCAACCTCCGCTGTCACACCCAGTCACGTCCAACTCACAAAATGGGTCACGTCACACTCCAGTCACGCTATCTGAAAAAGAGATCAAAATGAAACATAAATCCCACTGCAGAAGAACCAAGATATGGAGGCATTGTCTTTGCATGAACTCATCATTTGCTCATAACGAAGAAATTGTGTTTGATTTTAATCAGATGGCTTAAGTATTTAGTCTCACAATACATTCAAGAAAATCCTAGCGGACATGGTCATGTCCATCCAATGTGAAGGAAAGAATGGTGTGGAAATTACTGATGATATCTCCCCGTCAAGTTCAGCAGTGTTCCCCTGGTGTATCAACGGCTGCACCACGGTACACTCTACACTAACTCAGCCACATATTCCTCACCATGGAATCAGTTAAAACTGGTTCTTCAGTCAGATTTTTCATGATAACAGTCATCCTCAAGGCAGACAGCTAGCCACATTACCCAGCTGCTCTACGACACAGTACACGTTGTTTCACATCTTGCCTTCAGTATTGATTATCGTACCGAGCCTTCAGCACTAATTAAAGATTGCCTGATGCTTACAAAAAGGATAGAAATGGCAAATGATAGACTAATGTTGAAAAATGATTCCTTGGATCAATAACTGGTGCTGATGGAACCCCTAACGCTAGAGCAGTGGCAGCGTGGGATAACAAGTCGAACTTGAAACGTACTACATGGTCAGTAGGCAAATGCTGAGGTAGGGGATTTAGAGACAGAGTATCTGCACTGGGGCAACATGAAAAGGGGCCAATATCAATTAAAAATCACACTGAACCTCTGGAAAATCTAGACATGCTTCATTCAAGGCTTGGCTGACTGACTGACTGAGTTTGGTTTTACGCCGCTTTTAGCAATATTCCAGCAACATCACGGCGGGGGACACCAGAAATGGGCTTCACACATTGTACCCATGTGGGGATTCGAACCCGGGTCTTCGGAATGGCGAGCCAATGCTTTAACCACAAGGCTATCCCACCATTCAAGGCTTGGGGTTGGTGGGATAGCCTTGTGGTTAAAGAGTTCGCTTGTCACGCTGAAGACCCTGGTTCAATTCCCTACATTGGTACAATGTGTGAAGCCCATTCTGGTGTCCCCTGCTATGACATTGCTGGAATATTGCTAAAAGCTGTGTAAAACTAAACTCACTCACTCACTCATACAAGGCTGCACATTGAGAGTTTGGCGGAAGGGAGAATGATGTAGTTCAGGGAGTGTGAAGAAGATTAATTTAGATGGCATTGATCTCAGCAAAGAGTAAACAGTTATTGAAAGTTGTCCGACATTCTGTCCATTTGAATCATTATATAATCAAATTACAAATATATTCAATATAACTGTCCATGTCCACGACATACGGCATACTTCATTTTTGGTGGTAACGTGATGTCCTTGGGCCTAATGCATGACTGAGTGTTTCTTGGAAGGACCAGGTAAATCCATATCTGTATGTGACCAACTCTGGACCATGTATGAGGTAAATCCACGCCTGTATGCAATCAACTCTGGACCAGGTATGAGGTACATCCATACCTGTATATAATCAATTCTGGACCAGGTAAATCCATACCTGTATGTGATCAACTCTGGACCAGGTAAATCCATGCCTGTATGCAATCAATTCTGTACCAGGTTGCACAGTTGCACCAGTTGCACATGAACAACTGATTCAAGACGCCTCCTCATTCCTTGGATCAATCTTCGAATTTTGATTCTGATGAATCCTATTCTATACCTCATACAAAGCAGCAGTCAATTTACTGAGTCTGGACAGGTACGTCTCTCTGTTGTTACAACTAGGTGACACCACATGCTCTATGAGGCCAGGCATTGTCATCCATAAAGATGGGTCTTGTGGCTGGTGACTCTCAAGGATCTTCCATTGATGCCAAGGCCCATTAAGGTTACCAAGAGTGGTAATGAGGTCCATCCTGCAACCTAAGGAAATGGATCCTCTACATGACTGACCCTCCCCCCATTGGGATCCGTCCCCTGGGTGGTCAACCATAGCCGCGTTCCTTTGTGTCCAGACACGTGTACGATCCACATATACAATAAGAAATGACACTCATCGGAAAAGTGAACCCTCCACCATGATGCAATGTTCCAGTGAACACGTTGAACGCGTTGCTTTGTGAGCTGGAGACAGTTTTATATGCCTGACGGGTCCTCTGGCCCTGTATCCTGCCGATTCCTGACGGTACTGCAGGAAGTTCCTCTTGTTGCCTTAACAATGTGCTTGAGTCCAATGAACATAGCCTCACAAGTTTCAACAATGCTGTATTCTTTCTTATTGTTGTCTTAACATCATGAGTAGCCCTGTGTTTGTTCAAGAGTCTTGACATAATGGAAGGATTGCGCTTAACTTGATGTCCAATTTGTCTGAGGGACATTCATGTATTTTCATGCCAATAATTGGCCATCTTGTAGCCTCTTGTAGTGCTATACCAGCACCTTGAGCATGCACTAGTTGCCTGGATATGTGCTATGTAAATATAATAATTATGACATGCCATGATTATTATTATACTGAATATTCAATCCAAATTAAAAGGAGAGAGTGTGGCATGTTATCAGTGAAAACTTGATTTCAACAATGTTTGGGGTATGACATTTCACATGTATTGAATATCAATAAATACTATCGTGCTATATAGCAAGACGCAAAATGTTAATAAATCATTCAGAAAAATTCTCTGTTTTCTTAATTCACAGAATAATAGGTTTATGAATGAGGTGTTGCTTAGTTAATTTCCATATGTCTAAGTCACCAGGCTAGTGATCCAGCAAGCTTGAGGTGTCAGGATCGAGCCCTCCTGTGACCGGGTGTAAAAACCTTGGAGTCAACTTTGTGTGCAGACTCTTTCAGTGTTGTCACAACCCCTAGTGTACAGTACACAACCCTGCGCACTTAAAAGAACCCATGAATCCATTGGTATATGACCAGACGGTGGCCACATGAATACGTGCAAACACCTAGTTGCGGGTACAGCAACGTGCAGTAAACTTGGACAAAGTACTGTGACTATGCGTCCCAGTCCACCCAGCTGTGAATGGGTACCTCGTTAGGATGGGAAAGCCACAATAACTCGGTGCGCCTAGTGGCTGCAAGAGTTGTAGGATCCCCAGGGAGTTGAGATTGATAATAAGATGTGCCGTTGAGATTGACATCCAATGATCGAGGGAAAAAATACCAGCGCGCCTCGAACATGTACTAGTTGCGTGGATATGTGCGCTATATAAATATCCTATAATAATAATATGTATATTTATCTTGTCCAAGATATTTTTATGGATTAAACTTCTTTTTATCCCCCGCAACGCTGCTTTTGGGTATTAAAATGGACTCGTCTCATATCGCGTCGCCGTCCGATCAATCCGTCCGTGCACATTTGTCTTTTCGAGAGCAGAACTCTAAAACTGTTCAATATTTCTTCACCAAACTTGGCACATAGATAGATCTGGTGGTGTACTGGTGCCTTTTGGTAGTTTTGGAATTCTGAATAAAACATTTTTGGCGTTTCCATGGCAAAAGTTCGACATAGCCTGAAATTGGTGGTAGTGCACTTTTCCGGAGCAGAACTCTAAAACCGTTAACTATTTCTTCACCAAACTTGGCACATAGATAGATCAGGTGGTGTACTGGTGCCTTTTGGTAGTTTTGGAATTCTGAATAAAATATTTTTGGCATTTCCATGGCACCATGGCAACAAATTTGACTTAGCCTGAAATTGGTGGTTGTGCTCTTTTCCGGAGGTGAACTCTAAAACCGTTCACTATTTCTTCACTAAACTTGTTTATTTATGTTATATTTCATATTTCATAAAAAAGAAGTTTAATCCATAAAAATATCTTGGACATCTATGTACAACTTCTAAATGCCACTGAAAGATATATTTATCTTGTCATTCAACTGACAGATTTCCCTAGCTTAGTGATTCAACACCCATAATGCATGTTGAACTGCTGACGTAAGTAGCTGCTGAAACTTGACACAGAGAAGGAAGTGAAATGATCTGGAGGAGATAAGTTTCACCTTCATAGGCGACCTTTGTTAGTCCTGCTGCAGATGACAGCGACAACAGCCAAGAGTGTTCCTCGTGCCCATCATCACGTCCTCGTTAACCTGTAGATGTAAGCTGTGCCCACACCCTGCTGGTCTCCACTACACACAGTACAGTGGTGTAGAGTTAACACATGGCAGGACAGACTGTTTGCTTCACAACAACTTGTGATGCATCTGTAGGCATGTTAGCTGCTCCTCTACAAGTTCTGTTTGTTTAACTAATTCTGGAAAGGGAGAGTATGTTCAGGCCAACACTTGTCTCATCAAACTGGATTCAACTTTGTCTATTAAAACGAAAGTTTGGATGTAAGCCAATCATGCAGTTGATAATTATGCTAAACATGGTCACTTCACAGAGCCGCTGGTCACTAAATACAACTCTTGTGCCACACCCAGACATGGCCACCAGGTGATGTAGCACAGACCCAGTCACACCATGTCCTACTGTCCTACCACTGGTCACTAATTACAACTGTAGACATGGGCACCAGGTGATGTAGCACAGACCCAGTCACACCATGTCCTACTGTCCTACCACTGGTCACTAAGTACAACTGCAGACAAGGCCACCAGGTGATGTAGCACAGACCCAGTCACACCATGTCCTACTGTCCTACCACTGGTCACTAATTACAACTGCAGACAAGGCCACCAGGTGATGTAGCACAGACCCAGTCACACCATGTCCTACTGTCCTACCACTGGTCACTAATTACAACTGTAGACAAGGCCACCAGGTGATGTAGCACAGACCCAGTCACACCAGTCCTACACCACTGGTCACTAATTACAACTGCAGACAAGGCCACCAGGTGATGTAGCACAGACCCAGTCACACCATGTCCTACTGTCCTACCACTGGTCACTAATTACAACTGCAGACAAGGCCACCAGGTGATGGCACAGACCCAGGTCCTACTGTCCTACCACTGGACCCAGCAGACACCACACCAAGGCCACCAGGTGATGTAGCACAG